CCCCTTGCCGAAGCCTCGGGGCGGCTTACAACACAATAATTGCCCAGCAACTTATTGTATTATTTTATAAAGCTTATGCTAAAATCCTGGAGAGCTGTTGCTTGATAGTGTCAGCAGTCCTGAGCTAGATGGACCAATGGTCTAACTCAGGGTAAAGTGCCTTCCTGTATCCCATTTTGTGCAGAATGTTTTCTTTTCATCCTTGCTCATAGATTTTTTTTCCTGTTAGATGGTGGAGCCTGCATTATTGGCTCTTGGGGGACTTTACTATTGACTTATAGAACACCTGCCCATTTGGATGTCAGGAAGGACTGAAAGGGGTTAATTGGTCTCAACCTGGGCTCTGACTGGCTGTTACTTTGGGTTAATCTGATCTGTCCTCTCTGCTCTGGGCAGGTGTAAAGGAGGAGCCTTTCCACCCCCTTCACACTGAGACCATCCAGCAGTGTGTGAGCCGAGGGGCCAAGAGGCAGCCACTGAGAAGCTCTGGCCATGCCCCTGATGATCCCTGTGAGGGCTGGAGCAGAAGCCCCCTCAATTTCTCACAGACTGAGCTCTCAATCAGTGAGCTTGGGGGACAGCAGGAGGTCTTGGGCTTGGATTATGCAAGCATCACATTTGACCAGGAGTCACCACATGGGCAGCTGAATGGTTGTAACGTAGGAGATGTGATAGCTCCTGGGACTGTGTTGATTCAGGAAGGGCCATCAGAACACAGCCGATTTAGCCTAGCGCAAAGACGGATTGTCCAGTCTAATGAAGAGCTGGTGCAGGAGTTGCATGCTTTCCGGCAGGAATACACTGCAAGCTGCAGGGAGACTGCCTCAATTTTGCACAGCATTGCAGAAACCCTGAGTGGTGTCCACAACAGCCTGTCTGAGATCCGGGATCTCTGCATCTGCCAGCAGGCAGTGCCTAAGCAGTGAGAGTCCAATCAGCAGAAAGCCCCAAATATCTCGTAAGTGCAAACACCCTCTTACGGATAGCTGTCTCAGCTCTTCCAGCAGTGCCTGCATGGCCAAGAAATCCTTCAGCTATTGAAGAGAAATAGTTTGTTTCCAGGATAGAGTCTGCCTTGAATTTTCCTAATTTCTGGCCTTCCAATCCCAACTCAATAAAACTATGAAATGGGTGTCTCTGCTTAGGAATTTGATACCAGAGAGTCACATTTGTAGTGCTGATGTACCAACTTCCATCTTAACAGCATTTGTTTTATTTGGCCTCTGTTTTCACTAAGGAATCACATTTTGTCTCCCAAGCACTCATAAAACAATAGCCCTGGCACCTCTGCTGCTTCCATTTTCTTTTCTTTGTTCTTCTCCAGGCCACTGAATGTATCCGGATTGCTCAGTTTTCCTTTGCCAACCCTGGTTCTCATGCCAGAAGTGGCATGGGTTGAAGTGGCTGCTGAAAATGTCAAGATCTAAAACTTGTGTTGTCAGCTTATGGTTGCCCTGGATCAAAGGACTATCATTTTAAGAATTTTCAGAGGAATTGTGCCACTGAACAGATGGCAATGCTCCTTTGCAAATTATTTGAGGTTTATAACTTAAGGTTGATGCGATCATGATGGGGAAAGAGGGGGGAGTTTTAGACTCCCGTATCCCACTCAAGTCCAGTCACTGGCAGTATTATTATAATTACTGCTACTACATTATATTTATATTCCACCTTTTTTCTCTTCTGAGCAACCCAGGGTGGCTTACAAAGTCCTCCTCTGCTCCATTTCAGTCACAACAATAGTCCTGTGAGGTAGCTTAAGCTGAGAGTGAATGACTGACTCAAAATGAGCCTATGAACTTCATGGCCAAATGAGGACTAAATCCTGAATCTCCCAAATTCCATGTCCAACACTCAGACCACCATGCCACATGGGCTTGCAAGGAGTTTGCAATGTGAATATTGATAAAAGAGCACTGATTTTGAATGCCCTTTCTCATAGAGTTGAAAGAGGCAGCTCAGTAGGAGATGAAATGAAAATCTCTACTAAGGATGTATGCAGGACAGGCAAGTCATCCCATACTGATCCAAGTGACATGCCATTAATTGGTAGGTTGTGCTTTAAACATAAAGGAAAAACAACATAAAGTGCAGAACATTCTCACATTGACTGTTAAGCAGTTGCAATGAAGTTGGGTGCAATTTTTGAGTATTTGAGCATAGATGAGGAAGAACTGGCTGGTTGGTTGGTTGGTTGGTTGGTTGGTTGGTTGGTTGGTTGGTTGGTTGGTTTCAGAGGGAGGGAGGGAAGGAGCAGGTGGAAGGGCAGTGGATATGCTGCTGAATACCTGTAAGGGAACAAGGAGGATGAACTTGCAAATGCAACACAGACTGCACTGAGAGAAAAAGCTGAAGGAATATTTTTGTACAATCAGTTTACTACTGATCCAAATTGAACCTTTGAAAGTGGCATTTTTGTTAGCTTTTGTTGGTTATTTAATATACAGTGAAGACAGGCATGGATCCAGGGTGGGGCAAAGGGGGCAGTAAGTCCCCCAGTAGCTAATTACATTTTAAAAACAGATACTATGGGTGTAAATTGTTGGTGGGAGGGGCTAACTGACCCCCTTGCCCCCATCTGAGCCTGATTTGCAGAAATAGTTCAGCCTAGATTTTTTTTCTTTCAATTTGTTCAAAGAAGTTGCATGTAAGCCTCTGAATGCAGAAGCTTGTGTATATCCAGTTAAAGAAACGGTGCAGCCATGTCATGCCCCCACACCTCACCCCCTGCTTTCACTCCAGATGGCTGGTTTTTGGGCTACCTGAATTTAGAGGAGGTAAAGGAGAGGAGGGATCTGGATAAGGCCATTCCTTCCCCATATACCCCTTTTGCCCCCTCTGAGGCCCATCTGCAAACTAAGGGGGCAGCAGCCAGCACAGTTCTTTCCTTGCTGGCTGTGAAGGAGTGGGCGAGGGGCTCTGCCCTCAGAGTCCCAGCTATGGCTCTCCAAACAACACCAGGAGGCCACAGAATCGCACCACTGGTTAGCTAGCATGAGGGTTTTAGGACTAAGCAAAGCTTACCCTTGCATTTGGTTGCAATGCTGTTGCTCTTTGATTCTCTCCCTTTAGTTTTTTCTGTTGCCTGTGGACACTTACCGCAGTGTAGTATGCACAGAGCAGTGCCTGCTTGCTTTCTCTCCCCCACCACAATGTTCCTGTTTTTTTCTTTGCCAAGCACGTTAGTGTTCCAAAAGCAAGAGTTGCTATTTTTTCTTTTGTTCAGCACTGTGTCCATCACATTGTGTACTACTTGATGTGCCTCCTACAGAGGAGGTAGAAGAACACACTTCCACGGATGCACCAAGTGCTAGTCTTATCAGTATTTGCAAGTTTAATCCACAGTTGAGCAAACAATTTTGTGATGCAAATACTTATCATTCTGACTATAGCACAAGTCAGCAGTGATGGCTACTGCTGCAGTACATCAGGGACATCCCCACACAGTGGGAACAAGGTTTGGGCAAAGGGATTGAGACAAATCATCTATTCTTCCTTCAAATCGATGCTTTCTTACAGTACTCAAAAGACAGCAAACTGTACCAGGAGAGGCACGCTAAAGGTTCCAGAGCACAGCAACAAGCTATGTGCCTGCACAATCGTCCTTCCCCCACCCTCCAGAGCACGAGCCACATGCTTGGGGCATTGGTACCCATCACAATGTGTCAACTGCTTCCTTCCTCAAAGGATGAGCTAAAGCTCCAAGAGACCAAGACTGTCCCAGATCAGCCACTGTAGCATTAAGGAGTCCCCCGCAAGAATGATGCTTGCTTGCAAAGACAGGCCCCTCTGGAAAGTGGCTCCTCATGAGTAGGGCTCTGGCCAGTGCTTTGGATGGAGCTTGGAGGCCCTAGCCATAAAAGCCTTCTGTGGCTGCCCAGCAAGTGCTGGAAAGATGCCATTCTCTCAGCTCTTACAGTGGCCATCTCGTCGCCCTAACCTTGCCCTATGACTGATGCTCTGTGCCACAAGCCCTGCTTGATTCCTTCTGGACTGTGTAACATACCTGACTGCCTAGCTGTCTTTTGACGTTTGCCTACCATCTTAACTACCCCTGCCTTAGCCTGATCCAATGTATCTGACTGCTTAACTGTCTGCTACTTGGACCTCTCCTGCCTGAGTCTTATTGGACTGAAAGCATTGTGCTTGAATACATTTCTGCTTTCTGGATACTCTGCTTCAGCCATTGCAGGATACAATAGTCCATTGACCTCCCCAGTTGCTAAGTACTATGAGCTCATGTGGAATTGCTTTACTGCTAGGAGATCATGTGATAATGATTCCTTTTGTTATTTTTTTCTTTTGCACAAGAACTGCCTTTGTAGCCTGGCTGGTGCACTGTGCTTTTGTTCCACACTCTGGTCCTTTATTCCACTCAACAGGGATTTAAACATAAGACTCTGTTATGATTTATCTGGTCCAAAAGTTGTCATCTCTGCAGCAGGTGAGGCACAGTACTCTGGACCTTGCATCCTCATCACCACAAACTGGCCATTGCTGTAGTCTGAGCGAAAGGACAAGATTAAGCCTGAAGTGGCAAACTGGCCAAGAGCCATGCAGCATGAATGCCTGCATAACCACAGGAAGCACCAGGAATTTCCAGCAAAAATACAGCCACCATGAAAAGTGGCAAGGATAGCCTAGATTAAGGGATCAGCCCCCTCCCCACTATCCACAGACCACAGAGGAGGGAAAGAGTAGGAAGGGACATAGCACAAGGGCCCCACTTAACTGTTCTTTTTTAAGTGTAAAGAAGGATAAGGGTGAGTTAGGATACTATGAGCAACATGGGATATGCTTACTATGGAAAAAGCCAATTTTCACATGTGAAATTTAAGAGGTCCCTGCTGTAGTCAGTTTCTCCATCTCGCACCCCAAGAATATAAAACCAAAAGTGGCCAGAATGCTGATTCACATTGCAAATGACACCACTTGTCTTTTTCCTTAGCAGTAATAATGGTCAGACACATTAAAAGACATTGTGTAAGATAGTCTCAAAATATACCCAAATGCTGGAAGACCATGCTCAGGAGGGATTTGCAGCAAAAAGAAAACCAACAGCACTTGAGGCTGGAGAAAATGTCAAATTGGAAATGGACAGCAGGACCATTGAGGCATTTGTGTGTGTGTGTGTGAATTAACATTTCCTAATTGCTAAATTTCCACTTGGGGGCATGGCAGCCCCCCCTCCCCCATGAGCTAATTTTAAACTAGAAGGACTTCCCTCTATCTTTGCAGGACAAGTTCTAGCCTAGTTTTCTTTTTCACCTTACTGGTAGGGAAAGAGTAATGTCATCACTTTAAACTTAATTAACGTGTATAAATGAGTTAGACCCATCATGGGCCAAGATTTCATAACTCCACAGACTCTCGTGGCAATGTATCACTGCAGGTGGCCAAACTTTATATGGTTCTACAGAGCAGGTGGTACTTATCTCTGGAACTATAATACAAGAACAACAAGCATTTTTGCACATGAGGGTTATTTTCTTGCCTAGATTGATCTATAATATGAATGTAAATCTACTGGGTAGAATGCACAATTGAAAAATAGCTTTCCTTTCTATTGCTTCTCTGCAACATTCATACAGCACAAGGGAAATTCAAAAGTGCATTTTGGTGCTGTGGGGAAAATTACTTTTCCCAGACAGGGCACAGGAAATGTGTCCGCAAACTTGCAAATGAAGTGTGGAACAGAGAATCGGCCTCAAAATCCGCAGATGCTACAAAAGCTTCAAAGCCTGTGCTAAACAACAGACAAAACTACTTGTTTACTCCTCACAAGCCCTCATCCTGTCTGTTATAAAGGTATTGTTTTCAGTCCATCTAACCCTTTCCAGTGCAGTAATTGTGCGTATAGTTTCCTTTGGATAAATCAAAGCAGGCTGTGTTGGTCTCTCAGCTAGTTTCTCCTCCAGGCTGGCACCTACATAATTTATTTGTATAAAACAGCACCAAGTGCCCATTCTCATGGGGTATTTGGGCTCTCCCGTATTTATCTTTCCAAGGAGTCAGGGCTTTGTTAGGACATAAAACTTCACCTAGGGACTATGAACAAGGGCATGACTGATCCTTCTGCTTGGTCAGGGAGCAGGGTAAGCCAAAATCCCTGTGTGAAAAGGCGGTTCCACTTTGCTTCCTGTTGCCACCTTGAGACAAATGCCTCCTCGTCTGCCACTGCTGCACAGGAGTGGTGTCTGTCCCAGGTTCTGTTCATCTTATTTTCTCCGGCCTCATGTGCTTGCTTTTGCAGGAGCCCTTTCCTGAACCCAGATGGGAAATGAGGCAGTCTAGGCGTTTCCCTCAGTAACACAGGCAGGAAAAAGTGGGAAGCTGGAGGCCAAAGCAGTGGAGTCATAATGCTTCCTATCATGGAGAGCAAAGAGCAATTAGTAAGGAAACTGGCAAATACGGAAGCTTGGCCTGACGTTCCAGTGCAGCAAGACATCCATACAAGTTCTGTGGAATGGAGCTGCCAGGCCCAGAGAAAAAGAATTTCATTGTACAGTCTCTGCAAGGTCCTCTTCAAGTGCTGGGCTGCACTGGCTGTGGTGGCAGGTAGGGTGGAGGAGCTGCAGAAGGAAGACCCAGGCAATCAGAATATTATTGTCATCACCATCTTTGTTATTAAATTGCATTTCTATCCTGCCTTTTTCCCCTCTTCTGAGGAACCCAAGGCAGCTTACATAGCTCTATATTATCCTCATAACAACAACCCTGTGAGGTAGGTTAGCCTGGGAATGAGTTGCCCTAAGTGAGATCCCCGTGAGCTTCACAGCAAAGTGGGTACTAGAACCTGGATCTCCCTGGTCTCCAGCCCAACATTCTATCCAGCGCATCACACTGGCCCTCATTATCACAAGGAATCTCTCCCCAAATACGGAGGGTGCAGAACCTCAGGCCTGGGGCTGAAATACAGTACACTTATGGTTTCCCAGAGGTCCACTCCATTTTCCCCCCGCCACCAATCATTGGGCAGTTTCCAAGCATTTTCCCCATCCTAAAAAGTTGAAATAATGGGCCGTAAGGGCTTTAAATAAAATATGCTGGTACTGGCAATATTTTGGCCCGGCCTCCTTTGCTCCCACCCGCTCTGTAATCAGCCCTGTGCACCACTGGACTGTGGCCCCTAAAAGCCTCTCCAACATGGAATGTGGCTCTTGGACTGAAAGATGTCCAACATCCCTGCCTTATTCTGACCTCCCAGGCCACCATGATCTTCAGGGGTGGCCCTGTGGTCTATGCCGCAGCCTTCAGATTCCTGTTTGGCACTGGCAGAAAGAGATCTCTAACCTTTGGTGAATATAGCTGTATTATTATTATTATTATTATTATTATTATTATTATTGCTGCTGCTGCTGCTGCTGCTGCTGCTGCTGCTGCTGCTGCTGCTGCTAGGCATGTTGGGAGGCATCCCGTCTGCCCTTACTTTGCACTCTTTTCTTACCTGTAGGGTTGTAATATGGTGGTCCAGGCGGGTACAAAGGATATTGTGCAGCTGGAACTGTAGGGGGATAGGGGACCACAGGGGTATATCTAGGGTGAACTGCCTCTGGTCCTGCTTTGGGATCCACAGGATAAGGACCTGGAGGCTGAGCAGGGTAGCCAGACAGTGGGATTTCCTGACCTGGGAGAGAGAAAGGAGGTTTACTGAGCATGTGCTAGGCCGATTATCCTTCGAGAGAATTCTGTAAATCAGGGGAGCAGAAACAAAATGTGATTGCTGGGGCACTGCTTTGCCTTCCGGCAGGTGTGATGACAGCAGTGGGCCTGTTGACAGAGGACAAACAAAGAGGACAAACTGTTCCTTCTCCTCCTCATAGGTTCTGTTACTGCTCTTTCTGTTCTGACAGTGCACACTTGCAAAGAGGAACAAAGAAAATACTCAGGTATGGGTAGAAAAGTGTAAGGACAGTTGGGTCCAACCAAAAAAAATAGAGGTTCTTGAGGTGATGATCTTTAAAATGGGGTTTTAATAGGGACAGGGAACTATATCACCCTATGCCCTTGTAAAGTAAATAATAAATAAAAATACTCATTGCTCTGTCAAAAAAGAAAAACAAAGAAACCCTTTTAAAGGGGAGCAGCAGTTTTACCAGCTAGCCAGAAAAGGGAGTGAGATGTTTCTTGCATTTTCCCAAGCAACCAAGCAAGGAAGAAAGTGCAAAAGATTTAATACCCTTCAAACAATCTGGGCAAAAAAGAAAGGGTGAGGATCTCTTGTCTCTATCAAACTGCCAACCTCTCAGTGGATATAAATCTCAGCCCTCCATTTCCATGAACAAAGATCCTTTGTGCCTTTGCAGTCCCTCAACAGCACACCTTCTGAGTGCTGTCAAGAGAAAGTAGGAGGAGAAAAAATGCTATTTGGAGCCTTTTGAGTCACTGCACTGGGCGTTGACTGCAGTATCCAGCTAAGGCTCCCCATTTCAACATTTAGAGAATTACACTAAAATAGTAATTTTCAAAAAATGAAATATTCATGCACATTGTGCATACAAGGAAAAAATACCAAAAATATATTACCAACTACTGACAGCCCTTCCAATGCACTGCTTGGGTACTTGAAAGAGGCTGTCAAAATGTAGATCATAAAAACTGGGTGTCAAACCAGAAATCATGATCTCCTGGAAAAAAGAAAAGGTTAAAGGGTCAAAAATGCTACAGAGTAAAAAAGGCTCATGGTGGCTTAAGGGGAGGCAGGCAAGTCAATCCTGCTATGGAGTCCGCTGGGATACCATGTGATGACTGACAGGGAGGGAATGGATGAGCAGTCCAGTGGGCCCAATCACCTCTCAGGCACGCCATGAGCTGTTCACACACAACCGACCATGGCTTGTTGCCAGAGTGGGTTGCCATGATGTGCAAATGTGCCCAATGTCGAGGCTCAAGCCAGATGTTATGTAAGGATTGCCTTGCTAAAACAATGATCAGCTTAGTCCAGCACTCTTTTAGCGTTGTCTTATGGAAGGTTCCTAGTTCTGCAAAGTGAAGGCACTGTGTAGCTAATCTGTCTTTTCTCCTCCATGGATTTTCTTCATTGAGGAAAAACAGAAGCAGCAGTGGCAAAATACAGCAAGGTTGTAAGTTAAAGACAATACTGTCTGGATTCCCTCTAAATTGTCCATGAATTAGGCAGGGCAATTACATCATCAAACCACTTCCTGACTACGCCTGCTTTTAACTATGGCTATTCAGATTCCCCATCAGAGAGTACATCTTGAGCAATATAAGCCCCACTGCAAATATGCATGCATTCTCATTATATAAAATGGTCTTAACTTGCATTACATTCCCCAACTAGAGCAATGGCTGTCCCAGACCTCCCAGCCTGGCACTTACTCTCCAGATGTCTTGGACTTCCACTCCCAGCCACCCAGGTTGGGGAAGGTGCTCCACATAATATAAGCTGCATTTCAAGATACGGATACATTCCCTAGAATAGGCTTAAAGCCGAACTCTGGTCTTTGTTTGGAAGTATGTATGCTACTTGATCTAGATTTCTGAAATTTAGGAAATTTTCCTTGCAGTTTTCTGTAGTTACCTGCTGCTGTGCATGAGTTTACACATACAGTTGTTTTCTTCTTCTTTTTTAATTGGCAAAACACATTTTCATTTACATATTCTCAAATTTGAACATTATCAGAGCATTTTCTCAAAAATAAATGAATGGTTTCTACATCAGAACATTCAGATCTTAAATACTGACACCATCTCCAGTCTTGACCTAGGCTATCAGCAAGAAGGGGCTGGTCATGGCAGCAGGATCTCACCTACCTTGATCCAGTGTCCGAATACGATGCCGTCGCTGGTACAGGTAGCAACAGGAGCACAGGAAGCAGCACACAATGGTGGCAACAATGGCCACAAAGAGTATCACGCCTGATGCAATGCCAGCAATTGTTCTAGGGCTACAAAAGGCACAGAAAGAGGAGGTAACCTGCATGTGCAAGCTTTAGCATCTGGTACCAGTCTAGACACTAGAGACACCTTCTCAGAGCCAGGGTGGTAGATTTGTGAGAGTGTTGGACAGGGACTTGGAAGATCCAGATTCTAGTCCCACTAAGGTACTGAGCTGTGGAGCTCAGTAGATGGTTTTGGGCCAGTCAATGATTCTCAGCCTAACCTACCTCAATGGCTTGTTGTGCGGATAAAAGGGAAAGGAGGAAGACCATGTAAGGCACCTTATGTTCCTTGTAGGAGGAAAAGAAGGGATATGAATAAAAGCAAATCAATAAAAGGCATAGATTTTATTAAGGTGAAAATGAGTGCACTTGTCTTAATAGAAGGACATTCTAATATTAATAGAAGGACATTAATAGAAGGACATTCTGCTGCCCCCTATCCTTGCCACCTTGACAGCTCCATGAGAGGGAACAGTGGCTGCAGGGCATTTGCAAGCGCTTGACCAAATGAGTCTGCCAGGAGTCTCCCCACAGGTCCAGTGCAACAGTGAAAAATAAGGGAGACAGGGAAAGGAAGGTGTGTGCAAATGTCATGGCAGAAGAGTAGCTGGTAGGGATCCCGTGATCTCTGCAGCATGGACTGGAGGGAAAGGGGCAGTGGCCGTGGCTCCTCCAGGCAGGAGAGATGCAAATGTTCTACTCTTCCCATTCCAGCACCTGATGAAAACATAACCTCTTTCGTGAGAAGTTTGATCCTGAGTGAGAACCTGTAGCTGTTCACGGAGAAGAGGTAAAAGAGGGCAGGAAAACATGAAGTTTCAGCATGGAATAATTAGAATGGGGGAGAGACAGACTTCTTTTTTTGGAACTGTTAGAGCATTTTGGAGAAGGCAGGCAGAGCAAATGCAGGGTTTATAGAAGGAAATTAATGGAGAGGCCGAAAAACAACAGACAAGCTTCAGAGTGAATGGCATGAAAACAGAGAAAATGAGCTTATATAAGAAAAAGGAAAGATCTGCTGACTTTGAGCTTTGTTGAGTTTGTTCTGGAAAAGGGGGAAATCAAGAAAATGAAGATGGGCTGTCCTTCTGTGCAGGTAGTGTGTAGAGGCTTCCTGGACAGAATTGTCTTCCTGGATGGAAATCCAGGGGCATGAGGTGCTTTTTTATCCCTCCTTTCAGGATTCAGAATACAAAACAAACAAAACAAACCCTTATTCCAAGTTTGCTCAACAAATGTTGGAAAATGGATTTTCAGATGTTAGACACTGAGAAAAGAAGAAAATGCATTTTCCCCCTCCTTCATGATGTGAGGAAAAGGAGGTGCACAGTGATAAGAAGTTGCACAATTATCTCTAGCTGTTACAGGTCCAGGTAAGAAAGACGGCTAGGATCTCCACAGTTTTCTTAAAGAAAGGGCTTTGCTCTCAGTCACAAGCTTGACATCACAGATTATATTTTTTGTCTGTCACTTCAAGCAAAAGTTGTATTTTTCACTTTGAAGTCTGCTCTGACACAATAGTCATTTCTGACTATCGCAGCTTAAAAGCTGTTAAAAATATTTAAAAGGGTAAATAAAGATAACTGGCTGCTATTTTTTCTTTTCAACTGATTTAGGCAGGAAAGTCAGTCATCAGCATAAAATATTTCCTGATGACAGCTTCTGCAGTTTTCACCCTAGCCCAAGATCTGGAATTTTCAATTGTTAACACTGATGAATTCAGGCAATCAGAGCACAATGGGCAGGTTCAAACAATCAGCAACAGAAGAAGCCACTGTGGGTGCTTTGCTCTGGGTGTGCTCCACATTTGCATTGAGATCTGCCTTACTATCCACCCAGAGTTTATCGTGTTATCTGAACAGTGTGTGCATGGGGGTGGGGGGTGTCTTCAAAACTATTCTGAAACCCTACTACAAGCCCAGCATGCATGGGGATGAAAAAAAGAAGTCATCATGGCTTCTTTTTCCACTGATAATCAGATCTGGCCAAATCCTCATCAAAATCTGCCCAGCTGCACTGCAGAGATTTTGATGCCTAAAGATGACTCCGAGGGAAGGGCAAAGCACACACCACACTCAGACAATGTGCTGATCCGACCAAGCTTGCATCCCCACCATCACCATGCACGCATATGACTGCATCTCAGCAATACAAGGAAGAAGTTGTTGGGGGGCTGGTCACATCTCTCCTCTGTCCCACCTACTTTGGCCCATTAGGGATGAATGCACAGCCTTGTCTCCTCCCAGCCCCTTCCCTGCCTTACCCAAATGCCATGCAGTGCTTTTGCTGCCGTTCAGTCAGGAACTTCTGAAAGTCAAAGCAACAGTAGCGATGGTAACAGTCACCACAGCAGAAGGAGGGGAAATTGCAGTCAAAACCAGGGTGCCAAGAGCCATCTTTGTCCATGTACCACTTGCAGTCCTCATCGGCTAAGACTGTGAAAGATTGAAGAAACTGGTCATTAGCTTGATCTGCTCAGACTCCACCTGGGAGGACAGAGACAAGCCTGCGAAGAGCACAGTGGGGCAGCCAGTGAGCTTCCTACGTGTACGAACTTGGTAGCTTATGTCCAGCAGCCTTCCCACAGTTTGAAAAACATACTGATGGACTGGGTTCAGCTTATTTTTAGACTAAAGAATACAGACACAGAGTTGCTTTTGCAAATAAATACATGCAAATACAACAGGTCAAGAGCAACCTCAGGCCAAGGGGCCACACCTGATGCTCCAGGATTCTCCAGATTACCATTCCCCATTTCACCAGCTCTTTTAGTGATTTCCCAACTTTTGTGCAATTTTTCCCCATTCTAAAATGTTTAAATGCTTCTTCAAAGACTGAGTTACTGGCAATATGTGCTCTAGGGTGCAATCCTATGCATATTTACACAGAAATAAGCCTTACAACTTCCAGCTTTACCCAGCCAACTGTGGTGGATGATGAATGCTAGGAGGTATAGGATGTTTTTCTGTCTGAACATATATAAGATTGATGCTGTATGTTTTTTATTTTTTTTATTTTAATTTTTTTTTTTACACTCACATGCTACCTTTTTCCTCTTGCAAAGAACTAAAGGCAGCTTACATGGTACTTCTCTCCATTATCTTCCCAACAACCCCTGTGAGGTAGCTTAGGCTGAGACTTAATGACTAGTCCAAAGTCACTCAATGAGCTTCATGGCCAAGTGGAGACTAGAAGCTGACTCTTCCAAGTCACAGTTCAACATTTTTACTCATTTATTTATTCATTTCAACTTCTATTCTGCTATACTACTCCGAAGACACACTGGCTCTGACACCACACTTCAGCACCAGTCACTGGAATGTATCCTCCAAGAGCTTCTCCAAAGCTGAATGTAGCCCTCAGCCTTAAGGAGCTTCCTCATCCTGCAATTCAGTAATAAATTGAAGCCAACTTCTAGTCAAGATGATCCAAATTCTTAAATCACTGTCAAAACACTGCAGCTACCGTGAATCAGACATTGTTAAAAGTTACAGACCTATGTTTACCATTTCAAAGAAATGCAGTCTTCTGATTAACAGAAACATAAACTCCTGTCTAGCAAAGAACCAAGTGGATTTTTCCTGAGCCATGGATACAGAAGGTGGAAAACTAAATAGTACAGAAAATCATCCAGAAATACATAAATGGATCTCATATTTGATCTTGCAATGTTGCCCTTCATCTGAGAGCCATTTAATGACAGCAAACAACAAGCAGATAGAGTTCTGCCTATTGTTATCCCTTCCCATATCTCTAAGAATGATTCCAGTCTATGCCATTACCCAGAAATCTTTGGCTGCCTCAGTAGCTGATTTTTAGACAGGATGAAGTGGGAGGTTTTTTATTGTTATTTTTCCCCTCAAGGGAGAATAAAGAAAGCATGCAAAGAGCCAGACAAGTAGTCATCTCTCTGGAGTGCACCTTATATTTCCCACCCCCAAAATATGTACAACCTGCTCCATTATGTAAATTCCTGTCACAGTATTTAACTACTGGGCATTCTTATTGCAGAACTGTCATTGTATGAGGAATGCAAAAAAAAAAAAAAAAAAAAACCCAAAACAGAACCTTATAATCATGTGGGATGTCTGCCTGACAGACAAATGTTTTGTGTCTCACAGAGTCAATTAAAGCAACCTTGGATTTTCTAAAAATTAGATGTTTCACTCCTGTCTATACAGTGCAGTGCATTTAAACCTAAGAAAATAAGAAGACTCCTGTTGGTTCAGAACAAAAGGTTCTGATCCAGCATTCTGTTTCCCAGAAGAGTCCATTTAGTCCTACAGAACAAAAACACACTAGAAACTACAAAGAAAAAGGAGATCTTCTGTTGTGACACCACAGATGTGGAATAAGCTCCCCAGGAAAGCTCACCTAACACTAACATTGCGGTCTTTTCAGAGCCAAAACCTTATTTTCCCAAGCATTTTAGTCTTTTGGGGTTTTTTGTTTTTTAAAAATAGTTTAAAATAGGTTAAGATGTAAGCCTATGCATATTTAGGCAGCAACAAGGAGGGTATGAAGTTGCCTCCCCCAGTAAAAAGGATGTAATCACCCCCTAGTCCATCTCAACAGGGAGCTTTGGTGGGAATTTTTCAGGTGTACTTCATGCAGTTCTGCTGCTAGACCCTTAGTAGTTTATTTTCCTAGACAATATGGAACCTTTTGAGTAAAGGTAGCTATTATATCATGTTGTTTCTATTTATGGCAATCCTTTTGCTATGCACACAATTAAGAATTGCCGTCTCACTCATTCGGTGAGACTTGCAGCTCTTCCTTTGTTAGGGGATTAACTATTATGGTAACATATATGAAGAGAGTGCAAAGGAGTGCAATGGGGCATTGGTTTCTTTCCCAACTGCATATATTCATGCAGGAACTTTGTCTAAGTGCAGTGGAAAGACATACTTGCACAGTCAATGTGCATTCTTTCTGCTTGCACGTTCCAATTTTGGTGCATCCCAGATGTTTATTATTGCCCCTCAGGACACTTTCCCAATACAATTTCCTAACACTACTCTGGCCCCCCTCCCCCACCTGCTTTCCTGTACAGTTTATCCCAATAAATTAATGCAATCTGTCTTGAAAGCTATACTGCCCTACTGAGCCTAAAGCTGAGTCTCATGCATAACGTAGCATAATCTGCCAGCACTATACAACCATTCTGCTGCTTGGTAAAGGATTGCAACCTACATATGCATACAAGTCCAAAAGGAGGAATTTCTCCCACTGAGAAGAAACTAACACAAAGTCTTGAATGAATGCACAAATTCTAGTTAGAAACTCTAAGGGGAAGCCCAGTTGGCCAGGCTGCCAGTCTAAACCTGTTTTTGACCAACACTGTGGTACCTCCAAGGTTCCTAATTCTGTTCAGTTCTCCTTCACTAGACACCCTTCTTTTGAATCTCTGTAGACAACAGTGAAGCCTGTTGCCAGCAAGTCACAGCAGGGGAAGACTAATGCCCTCCTTTAAATGTGGAACTACAGCTAGGAAACTCAAGTGCAGTCTGTGCCCACAGCATTTTTCTAATTCTTAGTAATCGGCCAGAAAGTGAAGTCCTTTTGGGTTCCCCTTCCTCTGAAGCCAAGTAATTATAGCTGTTCCTGATCTATTTGTTTTCCTCAATCTAGCAATTTCTGCAACCCTGACCTACCATTTTCACCAGTGCCTAAGTGTCCTTCGTCATAAAGCCCTCCAGTCCTCTGCTCTGCTATTTCCGTAATGCCACCTTTCTCTCCTTCTTTAGTATTTCCCCCTCATTTCTGCAATCTTCATCTTTTACATCTCCCCTATGTTTGGCCTATTAGAAGTGATATATTGGCTCATGCACTAGGATGCAAGCAGACCAAACAAGCCAATTTTCTCCTCTGTAATGAATGTGCATATTTCTGTTCCTGAAAATAAACCCTGTTTTTTACCAAGTTCATTTTTTGGAATCTGAACAAGTGTCTAAGCTAATTTCTGCAATTGAAAGCAAATGCTCCCCTCTATAATAAGAGCACAATGCATATATTCATTATGTACAAACCAAACCTTCAGTTAAATGCCCATTTAAACCCACATTGTTCACTACAGGAATATACATGGAAGTTGTAAGTATAGGCAAACATGGCCATATGGCAACAACCTGCATCTGTATGCCTGCATCCATGCTGTTTTCTTACAAAGCCATATGAATCCCACGGAACAGTTCTGCCACTAAAATAAATAGAGGAGAGGCAGATGCTTGTGTCACATCCATGTACTTAGTTCTTGGAAAAATGGATCAACGTGCACATATAAAAGCTATCACAAGGAAGGAAACATATAGATCATGTTACACAGACAAATGCAAGTAGATCATGTTACATCTGACCAGGCCATGAGTTAAGAGCAGTGGGGGAAGAGCCAATTGGAATTCCCATAGTTGCTGGAATATGTAAGTCGGACAGCTGCTGTGGTTTTATATTGCCACAGAGAGTGTCAAATGCTGGAGTTCATACTAATGTTCCATGTCTCCTATCCTTCAAAATATGATCTCCACACATGGAACATAATCAGCTGTCTTGGAATGGCTGGAAGTAGGGTTTAAACCTGCTTGGGAAACATTGCAATTTTTACTAATACAATGGGGCTCAGCCAGTCAAGACCAGCTCCTATGCGGGAATCCATCCTTCCATGATCTTACTACATAGTTTATGATCCTTTGGGGCCACTTTTCTCAAGTGTTTTAGAAAGCTGTCAGTGGCAACTTATGTAAGGGAAGAGCACTAGCATGCATATGCATGTGTATATATATTTAGCAGTGAAAGACAATTAAACTGTCTTGGCTAACATGTATGGCATTAATCTGCAAATCCAAACAGGTCGTGTGTATTTAATGCTATACTAATAATCTGAGATACACCGAGGACATTAAATGCATTATATACGGTGGGATGGTGGGCCACTGGGCTTGTGCATATTACTTTGTTGTTTACCAGAACCCCATAGTTTACTAACAAGGGGCCAGGTGCAAAATGGTCATGAGAGAAAACGTACGTTGAAAATCAAAGTAGTCCCTCTGACTAGTGCTCAGGCTACAGGTTCAATTTCAGTACCAGAACTGTTCTCACCGTCCCCTTGTACAAAATAAACCATTCCTGCTTCCTCACTCCTAAGCATTTTACATCTGGTAGCCTAATTTAGAACCTGATCTACTGCAGGAAAACCAGGAAAACCCAACCTACCTTCTACCCACCCTGATATATAACTGCACACCATTTTATGTTATGTCAGAGTTCAAAAGATACTGCCATAGTGAATTGAAGTACACAAACCATTCTATTATATGCAGCATGTATATCCTGCCTGTCGTCTAAGTAGCTCAAGATAGCATACAGAATTCCCTTGCCATATTTTAATACTCACAGCAACTCTGCAAGGTAGATTAGGTTAAGAGATAATGGTTCCAAG